CACACACACACACACACACACACACACACACACACACACACACACCTCTCTTTATGCTATTCTTAACTGCTTTTAATTTATGCATACATTTTGTTTAAGAACATGTATTCCCAAATTACTTCTGACAGCTACTACATAAACTAAAATTTGAAAAAAAATAGAATTCACTATAGCAGTAATTTATCCAAAAGGACTGAAGTTGTCAATAATAGTAATCATGTGCTTTTTGCCCTTAGTAAACACTAGACTAAGCGCTAAACATTTTATTACCTTAGTTTACTTAGTACTCACAATAGCCCTCTGAGCTAGACTTACTGAAATTAATTTACAAGAAAAGAATTATAAAAAAACAAACAGAAGCTCAGAAATGTGAAGTAATTTTCCCAGTCACTCAGCAATTACAGAGCTGGGATTTGAAACTGGGTTGTTTTGTTCCCCAAATACTGGAATTTAATTACCTTGATCTTTGCTCAAGTTAATACTGATAAAAAAAAATTGGGGGGCTGTTTTCCAGCCAATACTCTTTACACCATTTGTTGGTTATGTAATATGAATAATGCCCCAGAGCTTTCTGTAACATCACCAAAGTTCAAAGCAAATCTATTCTCTACATATTTTGATCGTGTATCAAAACTATGATCAAATAAAAGTCTCAATGTTTGTTCTTAATCCTATCACTTTTTAGTACAGTTACAACAATCATCTGCCTTGAAATTCATGGAAAACTAGGGAATATTGGATGATTTAAAGCAGCTTAGAAAAATTAGCCACCTACCAGCTACTGTCTAAAAATTAATCAAAGGAGGGTATAGATATGAATTTTAGACAGATGATGATAATATCTTCTATACCAATAATTTATTTTTATCTTTAAAATACTTTTATATATTATTACATTTAATCCTCAAATAATCTTATAAATGACTATGCAGAAATGTTTCCTTTTAAAGTTCCAACAATGATATAGACCAGCGGTTCTCAACCTTCCTAATGCCGCGACCCCTTAATACAGTTCCTCATGTTGTGGTGACCCCCAACCATAAAATTATTTTCGTTGCTACTCTATAA